TTAAATGTTGTTTGCAGTTTTCATTTAGGCCTAACCGAAAACTGTTACATAGATTAAAACTTTGCACAATCTTATGAAAATAGAACTATTTTAAGTGAAAAATGACTGGTGGTAGCTAAATAATTTTTTTAATATCTACTCTTGAAATTGGGTTGAAAAAGTTGAAATAAATTCTATGAAACGCCCGCGAAAGATCTTCAAGGATCAGAAAAATAAACTATTGTCTTTAAACAATATTTTCGTAGCTTTTATGAGAGAAACAAAATGAAGGGTGATATTCATAGGTGACGCAAGAACTTCAAGAGTATATATGTATGTAAACATTTCTTTTCTAATTCAAAATGTGTAGAATAAGATAAGTGTCATTTAGTTTAAACATTTTTTTCCGAATATATACATATATAAACATATACAATAATGACAAAATTCAAATAATACATTCAAAGAAAACTCAATATTTTGTAAAATTTTCTCTTTATTATTTCTAATTACCTCACTTTATTTACATGAAAAGTAAATTCGGTAATATCTTTACAAATAATGCTTTTTGGAACTTACAACTTTGATAATTTTTCATTTGAGCATCATATTTATGATATAAAACCATAGAAAATGAGTTATGGGATCTTTAAGTGCCCTGTCAATACAAATGAAGTATTCTGGCGTAGAATGCTTATCACGCGACGTTCACACATAATTTAAAGATATTAAAAGCCTCTGGGAAATACTTCAGGGTAATTATTAAGTGACAGTTACTTACGTACGTGACTAGAATATAAAGGTTCAATGAAAGTTCATTCTAAACTCGTTTATCTGTAGAACAGAGTAGTTATTCAAAATTATGAATTGTTCGCTGATTTTATCATTATTTTTTCAATCGTAATATGGTGATTGTTCGCTTTACCTCGACTATGCATGTAATGCTTTGCTTTTTCTTTTGGTTTAAACATTTAAACAAATTTGTTCGATGTATTTATTATGCTTGATGAACAATATTTACACGAAAACATTTTGGGACTAGGCAGAAAGCTATAAAGCTTATGATTGTCCTTCCCCAAGGTATACAAATGTACATATTTCATGGCATTATCATTCACAAAGTTCATTCAGTTGAAAATATATTAAAGGCATTTACAGAGAAATGAGTTATTTTGCAATTAACAAATATTATTTATAATTACAGTGTGTTGCTACATTCAATGACTAAATTTACCGAAGTAGTTGCAATAATCGTCATTTGCATGAGCTACACGATGCTTACTTTGAATCTTCTAAACATATGATGTAGATATTACATGTTGCGATTCCTCCCGTTCTTGCAGTTATCATTGCCTATATGTAACGCTCCCTTGAACATTTCTGTTACTGCAGGAGCCGAGTATCGCCGTGTAGGCAGCTTTGAACTTTGTCGATGTCAAACTATAAATAATAGGATTTCCCGTACTGTTCATATACATCAGGATTCGGACCCAACAAACGAGATTAAGATATGCCTCCAGGCCAAGGTTTATTAGATCCGTCTTCGGTGCAAAGACTCGCCACAGAGAAAATACTCGTATCGGGAAAAGAGACACGAAAAACAACACGATTATTAATATTAGCATTTGAAGCACCTGTTTCCTTGATTTGATTGTTTTCACAGCTTTCTGATCATTGTGTGCTAAAGAATGTAACTGGTCTGACATCAGTTTTCTGATTATACATGTGTAAAGAGTTTTCAAAACGAACAGAGGCACTACAAAGAACAAACAAAATATGATTATTGTGTAACCGTAGTGCCACTTTTTGTTAACCATTGTCCGACAAACTTTGATTGGAGATCCGTCATAAAACAAAGCATCTTCATATTTGGTCATGCCCAACAGTGGTAAAGATAAAACTATTCCTACCAGCCAGATAAATGCAATGACCTTGACCGTAGCACAAATTTTCATTGATTTAATTCGGTTCTTTAAAGGGTGGCATAAAGCTTGATAACGTTCAAAGGTTACAGCCGACATAGTCAGTACCGAGACATGTACAACTCCGTTCTCCATCATCAGAACCAACGTTATAAACAAGAGGTCCATGATGGCCCTGTGTCGCTCACCAGAAACAACTGCTTTTCAGTGTTAGAATGTCAATATATTCTTATATTAAATTTCAGCATAGAATATGTTTAAACAATAATTTGAGGAAATGCCATGACCTGGGGTATTTAAGCTTTAGCTTAAACGGGGCTAATCAAATTAATATGAGCAAACTTGATAAAAGACTACCTAAGAATGCTACAAAGTTTGGTGATCATCTATCAATTATTTCAGTAGGAAATAATGTTCGACGGGCTAATCAATTTTTAGCCCATTGTTTTCCCATTGTTTAGGGCACACGCATTTTTTTACTTGGGGACCATATGCCGCTTTTCATGGAATGGCACTAACGTGTCACATTGAAGGTTCCATGATAACCGCCATATGAACACATCTGTGGATGTTTCAAAATTCTAAATTTTACCAGTTCATGTTAAATGTTGAATTCTGCTTAAGCCGGTGCTAGGGGGCGTGGACAGTAGTTTGCACTTGACAGTACCGTCCATGAACAGGCTCAATCAAACCGAGCCTTCAACATTTTCAATTTTGCCGCGTTGGGCTTTCTTTAGGGATTCTTATTTCAATCTATTTTACTATAAGCAAACTTGATAAAAGAGTACTCAAGAATGCTACAAACAAAGTTTGGTGATCATCCATCAATTGGTTCTGAAGTAGAAAATGTTTAAACGTTTTTCTATTTTTAGCTTTAGCGACCCCTAAAAGGGGCCAATCAAATTAGTATGAGCAAACTTGATAAAAGATTACCCAAAAGTGCTACAGACAAAGTCTGGTGATCATCCATTATTTAGTTCTGTAGGAGAAGATGTTTAAACGTATTTCTATTTTTAATATTAGCGGCCCCTAAAAGATGTTTAAAGGTTTTTCTATTTTTCGCTCTGCTAACCCCTAAAAGGGACCAATTGGAATGACATGAGCAAATTCAAATGTGACTGTCACAAGGATGCTACAGACCAAATTTGAAGTTAATCTGCTAAGTAGTTTCAGAGAAGAAGACGATTGTTTACGCATGACGACGGACGCCGGGCGCCGGAGCATCCCCCTTTTTGATACTAATAGCTCACCCTGAGCCTTCGTCTCTGGTGAGCTAAAAAAAGAAAAGAGATTTAAAAATGTTTTGTTTATTTAAGCATTAATTTGTAATGGCGCAGTTTCGTTTTGTCGCATTTTTGTCTAATAAGACCTCAAAAACTTCCAAAACGGTGCATATGAAAAATGTTTCAAGATCTTCTAATTAAACCAGTGACATAAGCACACTACCATTCATCAAACATGATATATAACTCAGCATGTAAATAGGATTTTTTTTTTATCTAATTTAGAATTTCAAAATTACCAATAGATGTGTTCATATGGTGGTATTCAGCATCCGGCGTATGGTTCTCAAGTGAAAAATGTGTATGTCCTAAACGAGAAAACAATGACCTGAACTAAATAAAATTTAATTTCGAGAGGGGATCAGGGGTTATGAATTCTAAATATCATCGTTATCTTTCTTCGAGTCTATTTTCCTTTTCTTTGCAATAACTGATTTCAGTAATTAATATAATGTTATTGAGTTACTTTTCAGGTCTTTCGGGGTAATTACTTTTATAAAATTAATACTTTTAGTATTGAGGATTGAAAAACCCTTCAGCCGAAGCTAAGGGGTGTTAGAGATGTTGCACATTCTATTATCCCCTATAAACCGATGAAATAAAACTAGACTGCTATTTTCCAGTAATTGTTTTTGATTTCATTCCTCTCGGGAATTATAACCTTTGCAAAATTGTGATATGTCAATTTGAATTTCAGACAGTGTGACAATGGAATAATGTTTGATTTAGTAGGAGTAAGAAAGACTGAACGTCTGTTTGTTTGTTTGTTTCATTTTACGCCTATTTCCAACAGTATTTCAGTCATATAGGCGCGGGTAGTTTCCAAACCATCGTTCCTGGAGAGTTACACCAAAACTAGACTACTTTCCTCCGCGTTAAACTACCAAAGCATCTCCCGGGTATCGAATCCACGCCAGAGAGGTAACTGGATTAGTAGTCATCGACTCTAACCCCTCAACCACGTTTATATTCAAAGCAAAATTTGTTGAACTATAAGTTTTAGTTTTTAATGGTTTTTGTCACTTACATATACATTTTTCATTTCAATTACACAATTTGACAATAGTTATATTAGTATATTAGTATTAGAATATCCTAATGTCGAGACATATATGTGTCAGATATTTCGTTATAAGCATCATATCGTATTTCAAGAATCTGTATATTCAATTTTGTTTGTTGGTTTGTTTGTTTGTTTCATTTTACGCCTTTCCTAAACAGTATTTCAGTCATATAGGCGGGTAGTTTCCTAACCACCGTTCCTGGATAGTTACATCAGTACTATATAGACTACCTCCCTCCCGCTATACTACCAAAGCATCTCCCAGGGATCGAACCCACGCCAGAGATGTAACTGGATTGGAAGTCATCGATCACGGAGGCGGTGAACATCAGTCAGTTACTATTAACGCCCACAAACAATACTTAATTATCGATTAGTTACATATTATCTAAAATTTGAAGTAGGAAAAATATCCTTCGTTTTTTTTTTTATTTTTATTTTTTTTTGTATTGTTGTTTTTTGTTAATCGCTTCCAGCCTTTTTTCAATTGAAATTCGCGATATCAAAGGAGAGGGGGATAATTAAAATATACACATACATGACATTGCATTCATACGCCAACACATTTTGCTTTCGAATGAAGAAAAAGAAATGTCATCTATGGTAAAGTTCGTAAATACATGTACATATTCAGACAGTTTCTTTAATTAATTCTATTTATTTCTGCAATTAAGATTTTTGTTAAAAAATATTATTCTATGTTAATAATTTTGTTGTGAAAAAAAGATAAATATATATAAACTTTTAACTTACACATTTCATCTCCAAGAAACCGTCTGTCTTTTCCAAAGAACTCCAAGAGAGCTGCCGGTTGACAAACAAGCAACACTAAAACATCAGCTGCACTTAGATTAAGCAAGTAGACATTTGTTGGTGTCCGCATATTCCTCACTTTAAGTATTACTACAATCACTAAAATATTTCCAGCAATCCCGACAATGAAAATGATGGCGTTACAAAACGACGTTATGAAATATATGTATGATGGAATTTCCATCTCTTTACTAATTATCTTATACTAGTATATCTCTATAAGATTGATACACCAAATTATCAATAACATGATGTTTCATTCTTAAATACTATTTAAATTACTAGTATAAATTAATCGCAACTTAATATAACTTCTCTTTCATAACTTATCACTATGAAAACACCATAGTGTTATCTAAATAGAATTGCTTTCTTTCTAAATACAGTAAACTCCGCTTATAACGAACTCCTTGGGACATTCAAAACCTGTTCCTTATATCCGGAGTTCCTTGTAAGCATATAGCGAATTAGTTCCTTGTAGCGAACATATTTACATATAACAAACTGATTGTTTACCATCGACCGCCATTTTGAAGAGCATTTGATTAAGAAAAATTAGTCATTTATTTCTTTTTAGACACAATACCCGAAAGCGTACTTTTTGGAATTTTTAAAAAATCCTTTGCTATTTCAGTTTTAGTTTTACTACCTTTCTCAATTTCTCATAAAATATCATATTTTGTTTCTAAACTCAGTGCTTTTCGTTTTCTTTCCATGATTAAGAATAACCAAGATTTTCGATTTATTCTTCCATTTATATTGAATATCTTCTATTATATTCTAAGTATTTTTACTAATAAAAGATTATTTTTTTTCATTTCAATCAAGTGTACTTTGTAGTTTTCAATGGATTATGTTTGCAAGCGTGCGTGGTTATGTTGAGAACCGATATATATGATCATAATTATTTTACTCGAGTAACTTAACAATGAAAGAAAAGAATAATAGAATTAAAGGAATGACCTTTTTATCTTGGTGACAAAAACTCATGCTTAAAAGAGAAAACTATTACATATTACATACTGCTATAGACATTCATTTTCATAGATGTATTGTAGTATATACAACAACAAGAAAAGCATTGATGCAAAGCATCAAAGGGCGTCCAAGCAAGAAATGCAGAAAGTGAAGATGAACTAGTAGACATATGATGACAAGATATTCTAACTTTTCAATGGTTAATTGGTTTTTACCAGAATGAACGGACGAAAGACATTGTTCATAATGAACTTTGATTGGCATGCTAGAGATTAAAATATTACTTGTTATTTCTTTATGATCGTGATTATTAATAGCAACGGATATACATCTATACAATCATTTATAATCCAAATGTGTAACGCATGATCAACACCACACTTGTGGAATTCTCTTATTATATGTTATCGCTATTAGCGAAGACCCACTCTTAAGGTATCTGTTCACACTTAGTAAAAAAAAGACACTGGTTATATTACCATGTAGATCATGTTGAGCATAATTGTTTATTATACAATAATTGTAATATCTATTTTAATATAAAAAAAATACAGATTTTATGAATATTGTTTTCCTCAGTCTCTTTTTTTGTGTTTTATATGCTATTTTAATACTGAGTTTTTACGTTTACTACTCTTAAAATTGTAAAATAAATTTTAACAATTCAATTGTCATATTGACCGACGATTATAAGTCAAAACTTAACTGGAAAAAGTCAGTAAATTATGCTTAATCTTTTAATATATAATATTGTTTATTCTTAAACCATGTACATGTACATTTGTATTTTTCTTTATCATTTTTTGTGTCGCCTCTACGGAGTAGTGGCGACATATAGGGATCACTTCCGTCGTCTGTCTGTCCGTCTGTCTGTCTGTCTGTCTGTCCGTCTGTCCGTCACAAAACTTGTCCGGACTACTTCTCATAAACTACTGGTGCAATTTCATTCAAACTTTACAGGAATGATCAGTACCAAGCCTAGTTGTGCATATTGTCCGCATTTTCCGGTTCAATGATTTTTGTCAGAGTTATGGCCCTTTAATATTTTTTTATTTTTAAAGTTTGTCCGGACTACTTCTCTTATACCACTAATGCAATTTCAATGAAACTTTACAGAATTAATCTGTAGCTCAAGTCCTTGCGCATATTGCACGGTTTTCCGGTTGAATGATTTTTGGCCGAGTTATGGCCCTTTGATAAAAAGGTGTTTTTTTCTGTGAGTTGCCAGATACACAAAAGCTTGTCCGGACTACTTCTCATAAACTACTGGTACAATTTCATCCAAACTTTACAGGAATGATCAGTACCAAGTCTAGTTGTGCATATTGTCAGCATTTTTCGGTTCAATGATTTTTGTCAGAGTTGTGGCCCTTTAATAATTTTTATTTTTAAAGTTTGTCCGGACTACTTCTCTTATACCACTAATGCAATTTCAATGAAACTTTACGGGATTGGTCTGTAGCTCAAGTCCTTGCGCATATTGCACGAATTTTCTGGTTGAATGATTTTTGGCCGAGTTATGGCCCTTTGATAAAAAGGTGTTTTTTCTGTGTGTTGCCAGATACGCAAAAGCTTGTCCGGACTACTCCTCATAAACTACTGGTGCAATTTTATCCAAACTTTACAGGAATGATCAGTACCAAGTCTAGTTGTGCACTGTCTGTCTGTCTGTCCGTCTGTCTCAAAATTTGTCCCAACATGAAATTGGCCATCATGAGGCGACACATGTGATTACTGATCGCTCTTGTTTAAATTATCAATCAATTGAATAATTCATAAAATCTAATTTGTAACTTTGAATAATTCATCGGCATCTTTACTAAACACGAATAACAAATTAAATAAAACGTTTCAAAGTTGATAGTGTTAATAAAACGTTTTAAAGTTGATAGTGTCATATTAATACCATAAAAATGTACCTTTTTCTCAATTATTGTACATATTTTTTGTTTTTATCTCATATAGATATCAAAGTGCTGCAGCACTGAATGCGACGGACATGCAACCGGAGAGACATTAAGGCCTTTTTTTAGAAAAAAAAAACAACACAAAAGATATAACAGAGAAAATTTGTTCCATACAAGTTCGAGATTTGTAGAGCAATATATTTTATATGTGTCCCAATCTGATATAATTCATATTTTCTATTTTCAAGCAGAACAAGTCCAAATTTTTAAATACAGAATGAAATTTATGCCTAAAAACTTTGGTCAAACTTGTAAATCAGTGTCCTTATCGATTTATTCCAAGAAATGATATGTAAACAGAAAAAAAAAACTGTCAACGAAATATTTCTAAAATAAAACCATGCAAATTAACTTCAATCATAATACATAATACATGTGAGAATGTTAATAATAGCTGCCGGTTTCTTTTTGCCGCGCCAGTTTTTGGCAAATTCAACCCCTATTTTTACGCGCTTTAAAAAAATGAAAACTATCTTAAATTGTCATATTTACTAAATGGTTTAAAAGTTAATATGTTTTGTTTTTCTATCTTTAATACTTTTATGTAAAAATGCATTGAAAGTTTGCATTTGCCATGGCAAAGTGTGTTTTGCCATGGCATTTCGGCATTTTGCCATGGCAAATAATTTGCCATGGCAAATTAGAATTGCCATGGCAAGATTTTTCCTACTTTTGCCATGGCAAATTTGCCATGGCAATTATTTTTTAAAAACCTCACAAAACATTCTAAAACTTATCCTATGACATGTTATTGGTGCTATTGTTATGTTTTTATTGCAATCTCTAATTTTTTTCATTTTGCCATGGCAAATTTTTGCCATAGAAATGCCATGGCAAATTTCTGCCATGGCAAATTTGCCATGGCAATTCCATGGCAAAAATTTGCCATGGCCATGGCAAAAATTTGCCATGGCAAGTCCATGGCAATTACAAAAAAGTTTGCCATGGCAAAATATTATCAATAAAAAAAAAACATTTTTTCTTTGATTTTTTTTTTTAATCATTAAATTGCTATCCAAAGGAAAATATAGTCAATTTTTGTAAAATGTTTTAGTGTCATTAAAAAATGGTCTGTGGAATGTTTTAATTTTCAATTTTATTCTGATGGTACTATATTTACCAGGATTGGCAGGAGTGTAAGAATTAAGTGGCCCATCATCAAATCATACGGAATCAATCCTGCGCTAAACTATCATTTGTTTAGGATATTAACCTCAATTTAAGAAGGAAATGTTCTAGTTGAAGCGAAAATGGAAAAGTTACCGCCCCTTAAAGAGTACTCATCATTTGCATTAAATCAAAACACGAAGGGGGCAGGGGACCTAAAAATGAACAATTTTGTAAATCAGTGTGGCTAGAAACACAATTCCAAATATTTCAAAATCTGTTTCACAGGCAGATAACCAGTTGCACAGCATTATTCAATGATTTATGACATACATTGAAGAAAATAATAGTTTGAATGCATTGCTCCTTAAAAAATGACTGACAGTAATTTATATTTACCCCCACCCAGCCAAAATCACACCTAAAATATACCAATATGGGCAATCTTCATGAAGGTGCAGCATACTCTAGAATCCGCCCGATTCCTTAAAAAATATCACTTACACGCAGTGCAAGCTATGGCATTTTCAAAAATGACCAATAAAGTGTCTGTCATGCGTTTAGATTTTTCACAAAATTTATCTTGTTTGGCGCCAACTGTCAAAGCTTGATTTTTAACTTTTTCACCTCCATTCGGAGAGTCACAAATACATACAAAGCTACCAAAATGCTTAGTTTCGGGTAAAAAACAACAAAAATACTGCTCGTTTCCTACACACAAACGAGAAAGAATTACAATGACAGAGAAATATCAGAAGTTTCCAGTACCTTCAAAACACCATGTCTGAGTTATTAAAACAATTGATCGGGTCCATCATTCGAATATCTTCCCTGTCCCCATATTTCCCGTCGATAATTTGTATATTTTTTTTCTGTAAAATATAATAAACAAAACCAACAAGGAAAGAAAGTATGTTTGCGGTGGTTCCCTCGTCATGTAATTTCGTTGATTCGTTATACATATTGAAAATGTAAGCAACGATTGATTCAAGAATTAATATAGGGCCGGGAAATATATTTGAATATTCGAAATCGAACATCGAAAAACGAATACGAACATTCGAAAAACAGAAGAAATGTTGTATTTTTTGTACTTTCAAATTTCAATCAAGATCGTAAATTAAACCATTGACCTTTACTTGACCCGGTGTTCATATGTTTGTATAACGCGTGACATCGACTATTGCCAATTTACTGTGAAAAGTTGTGAGTATAGTTAATCAAAAGGGCACCCGTTTCACAGTTAATAATTTACTTGTTAAAAGTATATTATGTAAAATTTTCCGATTTTAATTATCTTATTTTATTGTTTTCTGTGCTATAATATCTAGGGGCGTGAGGGATGTAACACTTCTTCATTATCCTTCATGTACGGACTCAATCAAACTGAGTCTGCAATTTTCATGTAATGTTGCTGTTTTTAATGATTCCGATGTATCACTTTTTTTCCAGATATTTTTTCGATCAATCAATAATTGTCGTCAAATGTAAAAAGAAAAATGAACTTGCACGTATTAATCGGCGCGTTATGAAAGCACGGAAATGGTCATCCCTCAAGGCCAAACACTTCAAACTTGAAAATGTTGCAGACTTGGTTTGATTGACCCTGTTTATGGACGGTAATGTCAAGTGCAAACTACCGTCTACGCCCCCTGGCACCGTCTAAAGCAGAATTCAGCATTTTAACATGAAAGGGTGAAAATTTGAATTTAGAAACATCCGCAGATGTATTCAAACCGCGGGTATCATGGAACCTTCAATGTGACACAGAAGTGCCATTCCATGAAAGGCGGAGTATTGTCCCCAAGTAATAATCAAAGGGCTGCAAGCTCTGTGGTATTTTCTGATCGTTGCTATCGCAATCGTACTGTATATCTGTATGTATTTTCCTGTATATCCTGACATCGCTAAAAATAGCATTTTAATTGATTAAAATCATTTTCATCCGCGTACATGTATTGACAATTCTATAAGCCAACGCTACTTTTAAACTTTGAATGCGTTGTAATTAGTTTGATACTTGTAACAAAATATTTCTTTCTTTTACATCGCAAGTTTTAAGCTGTTTTGAGAACTACATTGCATATATATATATATATATATATATAAAACATGTGGACACAGAATCTAGTATAGCAATGTTTGATCTCATCATATTTATTTACTGTCTTTTAGAAATAGTTCGGGCGCTCGGTTTACTAAGTATCAAAAAATGCCCCATCTTATATATTGATGAAAATTAACGGTGTATAGTACAAGGAGCGTAAAATTGGTAGGTATTGGTAGTTGGATATTCGATTTAATGGATATGTAGCAAGATAGATGTGCTCTTCAAGATTGATTCATGTTCGTCATGCGAAAAACTGCTGACCAGTTAAACTACTGAAAATTGCTGACCTCTTATTTTAGATAATTATATAGATAAAATTATGTATAGATGTAAATTTCTAGTACCATCGCACTATCGTATTGTCGCCATTGCATTATCGCACTGTCGGCATCGCATTATCGGCATCACACTATCGCATTGTCGCACTGTCGCCATCGCATTGTCGCCATCGCACTATCGCATTGTCGTCATCGCACTGTTGTATTGTCGTCGTTGTTCTATCGCACTGTCTTATTGTTGCCCTCTGGATTATAAAGTATAACTACGATGGCCCTAACGGTATTCCATATTAATATGCCTGCGTCACAGTCTGTACGTTGTTACCACTCATCAACGTTTTCTTCGGAAACACACAAGCATCTGTCGCTGTACGTAGTACAAAGTCGATAGCATCATGCCTATGATCTTATTTTGAAAACAAAATCATGTTCCCATACAATGAGGGGTGGGGGTTGTTGAAAACTCCCGGATTTCACTCTCTGTAAGTGTAACAGCATATGAAACCTAATACCGGTACTGTTGAACTGTTGTTTGAATGTGAGGAAAATCGAAAAATCATACGCATCTTCTAGATGAAAGCATAACACATGTTTGATTTTATATCGTTTATTTAATAGTGTTCGTGATGAAAATGCATGTCGAAATAAATTACTTATCTGTATAAATGTGCGTATACCGTAGCTAATCGCCTGTATTGATATATTTGAATCTACTGTGCGTTTCGGATAATTATTTAGTGGCACGGTGGTCAAGTCCACTTTAACGGTGTAAAACAGTTATCATGTTGTGTTTATTATCTTAAGTCAAGCAGGCTTGCCATATAAATTAAAATATCGACAAATTTACCAACTGGCGGCGTAACACAGTAGGTAAAGTTGTGTGGTAAATTTTTAGTTACATATCAATGCAAGACAGCCAGGTTCGGTCCCAAATTGTTTTGTATAATTATCAATCGATTAAGAATTTCTTTTTTTCTTGTAAAGATTATTAGCGCTGTGTTATTTTCTATTAACTTCTCATTTCACTTTTGTTTTAAAATGTTGCTATATCTAGCAAGTTGGTGCAACCTGATACGGAATGCATACATGTACATAAATTGTTTCAACTATAGTTAAGTTGGCACGAAAAACTTGTGCACTGCAAAAGTACTACATTGTACTTATATATAATACACACTGCACAGAATAAAAATTATTATTTCCGGTATATATAAATTATTCGAAATTATAACAAAACTGCCTTTATATTCCAATTAATTTGCATCTCATGTAAAAATAAAAATAGGGAAAGAAAAAGGAAAAAAAGGTTTGACAACTTGTGTGGCTCGAACTCATGATACAATTTAATTTGTATGGCATCCTAGTGACTTAACCAACTTTGCCATCGAGACTTTTCAAATTCTATTTCTGATTTTGAATCATATTCACTTCTAAATACCCTGTTTTACCTATTCAGACAAAGATTGTACACAAAAATTGCAACGTCACTCTCACATTATCATAGCGGCACAGTACATTAATTCTATCAAATCTAATCAGTTTAAGAATAAGTTCTCAACTGGATAACAACATTTATATCTGAAACAAATATTAGATATATGACACACATGTACTTTTATTGGGATTTCATAAAATAAATTCGGCCAAGTTGCACGAGACTGCACAATTTTTCAAGCGCCTCAGAAACAGAGAACGATGAAATCGTGCGTATTCTTTTATCCCGAAAAAGACCCTAACAGTTTGATAAGCAAACATTAGGTTCACTGACTAGATACTTATGTAGGGTTTCTTTCATAATATTCACAGTTTCTGCATAATACTTTATGATTATTTGATTGTGACATTTTCGTATCGTAGGTAAAACTATGATGGTTGATTTGTGCCATTCGTGTTTTCGCCCGCGACCCCACCAAGCTAGAATTAACAAGTTAAAACGGCGGGGTCGCGGGACGAAAACACGCTAATTAGCAAGAGCGCGGGGCGAAGTTTAATGAGCGAGACAAGATTTAAGAAATAAAACGGCGGGGCGCACAGCGAAAACACACATATTAGCGCCCCGCTAGTGTTTTCGCTACGCGCCCCCACCATTTTAACTTGTTATTTATCGACTTTTCGCTTGGCGGGGTCGTTGGACGAAAACACTCTTATTAGCAGAGGCAAAGTTTTATTTATTAAACTTCGCCCTGCGCCCTCGCTAATAAGCGTGTTTTCGTCCTGTGACCGCACCGTTTTATTTCTTAAATCTAGCTTCGCGCCCCCGTGTAGACCCCCTGTGACTAAGAATAGAGTACCGCTCAAGCCGGTGCTGGGGGGGGGCGTGAGGGATGTTGCACATATTCATTATCCCTCATGTACAGACTCAATCAAACCGAGTCTGAAGTTCTCGTGTAATTTTGTTGTGATTAATGCTTCCGAGGGATCACTTTGTCTCCAGATTTTTGAATTTTCAATTGTATATTTAATGTAGGAAAGATACGATAATTATTTTTTGCGGTGGTTCTCTGGTCATATAATTTCGTTGATTCGCATATTGAAAATGTAAGCAACGATTGATTCAATAATTATTATACTTACATATTCCAACGTCTGCAAGATAATGAAGACATAGAGGGTGAAGGCAGTCCAAGTCAATATAAAAGACATGCGCATGCTTGAAATTGGGAGTATCCGTACCGTTCGGCTCGAAGTAAATCTGGATACCCGGGTTCGAATCTCGGATGGTGAAAGTCATTTTCACTGTGATTGATCGTACCACATTTCGAAGAGTACCTTGCCCTAGCATGTACTGAAGTTATCAGCACGTTGCAATTTAGAGTGAATGCAACTACATGTAGTACTGCGAAGCTGCTTGACAGCCTGTCCAAGAAAATGTGGTGGCTGAAATGTGCTCTGGTAAATTAATTGTGACTTTCGTTGGTAAGGAGGTTAAACCACCTATGTAATTATGGAATATGTTTTGAACATCTTAAATATTCTATCATGCTCTAGATGTTATGAATAATTAAAAAATCCTTGGAGACAGCAAGCTGATCAAGAAGCCAAGTGACTAACAGCATAATGTCCACACGTGATCCTATCTGATAACCGATTACATCTGTATTGTATATTCAGCATGGTAATAAAACACGAACAGTAACAAACAATGACAAACAGCTATATCAAAATATATCATAAAAATGTTTTGAGTAAATGAACACACAAAATCATCCAATGTTTTTGTTTCAAAGTTTATTTAGTTATAGTAATACAGGCATTCGAGTGGTTTGTTCCTATCCAGTTATTCATTTCTGCAATCGCGTCTTTGTTTAAAGATCCTGAAACTCATTTTTAAATCATAAATATGACGCTCAAGTAAAGATTTATCAACATTGTAAGTTCTAAACACCATGAATTCCGAATTTACATTTAATGAAAATAAAGGGGGGTAATTAGAAATTTATGTTCGATAAAGTCTGAGCAAAATGATTCAATAAGAAATGAATAAATATATTTTAATGATTATCTTTAATGCGTATTAGCATTTGTATTACATATTAAACATATTATCCGACATTTGGAAATTCATTTAGGAGAATAATTTGATACATAAATAAGATTTCATTTAAATATTGTTACATCCTTAATGACATTCAGGATCTTTAAAGATATTCATTTAAAGCTGCATTTTATAAATTGTAGAAATGTTTTGCCGTCGTACTATAAACCTAGCAGTCTACAATTTTATTAACCTTTTTAACAATAAAGTTAAAAACCTTATAAAATACTGTTCAGAAATTATAATTTTAAAAGTGAACCACAAGGTAACACTTAAGTTCATATACGAATTTTAACAAGCAAATGAAGACGGTAATTAGAGCTGTGTATGCGCTACCCTTAAAAATTAATAATTGTAAACAGCAAAAGAAGGATTATCCCATCTAATCAACTTACCTTTTATTAATTATATGGTTCACAATCAAATGAGAAACAAATAAAGTATATTGTCAAAACTAGTAAATAAACATGTATGCATGTAGTGGCATGTACACGAAATTCAGAAGCAAAGTTGGCAAATGCAGGTAAGGCCCGGAATATACTAGCTTCTTGGGGACTCCGCCGGGTTTCCGATAAACTACCCGGAAACAGTTATTTCTGCCACTTAAAAGCGCTGGAAATCAATGATTAAGGACTAGACAAAAATATAACAACACTGAAGTACGAGGCAACAGTTACTAATTACGTCTGCCACACGGCACATGTAGTACTATGAAGCTGTGGAAAGCTGTGACATCTGCTGTGGTGATACATACATATCTGAAAAAAAGTCTCGGAAGCATTAAAATCACATAATTGCATGAAAATTGCACACTCTGTTTGATTGAATATGTACATGAGGGATAACTTTAAAAGTCCAACATCCCTCACTGCCTCTAGCACCGGTTTTAGCGGTACTCAAATGTCAAGGATTTAACTCAATACAGTATTGGAGCAGTACCTCTAGACGCTTGCAGAAATCATGATCGCAAAATAGACAAATATCGTTTTTTTCGCCGATTTTTACATTTTTCATTCATTATCATATATGAATCGGTGTGAAAAGATGAATAAGGCCTATTTCAGTTCATTCCGTTGGGTAAAAAGGCAAGATTTTAGTATTTTATGATTCAAGCGCCTTGCCCGGTATGTACCGGAATACGGTATTTAGTGTGGTGCTCCAATCCTTTTTTTTTAGTCCCACTCAAATGTCAACACTTAAAAGCGCTGGAATAAATTATACCGATTCATTCATAAAAGGCAAGGGTGATATAATCCTAAGCAGGAGTCTCATCTAACACAATAATTTTCATGTCTGACATTTGTCTGATTTGTAAAATA